GCCTAACGGGACAGGCTAAGGCTAGTTCTGGTGTAGGGGACTCGGTAGGTGCAGACGTGGAAGGTCGCCCGCCGCAGACGGCGCCCTCGGACGCTTTGCGTCATCCAAATCCCCCGGTGCCAAAGCGCCCGGAGCATCTGCCGGCTCGGCCACAGCGCCGAAGGGGCCACCGGTTCCCGTTGCAGCAGGCCGGGGTACAATCCCTGTGAAGGCTGCGCCTCCCAATATTCCGAAGGCAACCGTGCAGGCCAAGCCGCCACCACCTGGACATAGTCCAGAGGAGCGCTATGCAGCAACTGCCAGGCCGATTGATACCCGATATGGGTCGGGCACAGACCCGGAGGCCTCAGCGAAACCTCGGAGCATAACACATCCGAAGATGGTGCTGCGCCAGAATGTTGCAACTGCGAGGTTCCATAACGACAAGCCTACCGACCCACATGGTCGAGACCTCGTATTGATCTCCAATTGCATCCATGGTCCACACCTGGATACCCCTCGCCCAGGTACCGTGTATAATCCGGACCTGGTGTTGCAGCCCTTCTACGTCCTCGACGTCGCCGACGCTTATTGTCGATGTATTCACGTGGGGCACTGCCAAGGACGAGTGGGTGACTAGGATTTCGGAGGAGTGGACCGGCGATGCTCTATATAGACATCACGAGCAGATGCTCACCTATACGGTGACGACAGGCACTTCCCGTACGAGTTTTATGTTGATCTACGTCGATATGACGTGGCTTGAAGACTACGCTTGGGAGGCCATGAGCCCGTCTGAAAAGCAGGCGGCGGATGAACAGCGGATGAAGAACCGGAATCACGTAGGCAGTCACCCAGATATATTGCTGGAGTATGCCAACCACCAGAACTTTGTTGAGAACGCAAAGTACGTTCTTAACAACATCAAGGATGCGCAGGAGGCCGGCATCCAGCAGATCGCTGTACACACAGTGTGCAAGGTCAACAGACATAGATCTGTTGCGGGCGGTATCTTACTCTTTGACATGGTTCGCCGCCTCGAGGATACTTCCATCAGCCTCACTCATATGAGTGCAGCGTGCTCGTGGCCCTTTAGCAGGCAGTCGTGCAAAGGCCAGTGCATGTATTGCCAGCATAAGACGATTGACATAGTCACTCAGGTAGCGCATGTATGTGATTCATTTGCGCAGGCCGTCTTTAGAAGAGAACGCCGCATTGGCGGTAGAGCCTGAGACAGCTCGCCCGACAGGGGTGAAGACATATGCCGAGCTTTTCAACGAGCAGCAGATCGCAGCCGGCAACGTGCAGACCCCTATAACGGGAGTCGGGCCACTCGACCAGCCTCCGAGGCCAGGAGAGACTGCCACTCAGGCCGCGACTCGCATGGGGCTGGCAGGCAAGACCCACACATCGTATGTGGCGAAGTATAATCCCGATAGCCTAACCGGTGCTATGAATCGCACCGCGAACGCGCCGAAAGGGGCGCCGGTGCCTTCTGTGACCTTTACTACAAATATGGGTCCACCTCCTGAGGTTAAGGCCAAGGCTAGTGGCAGCAAGGCACCGCCAGCTACAAAGGCTGAGGCAGCAAGGCCGCCCACAGTGGCGAGTGAACCCGTTCAAGTCAAAGCAGCACCTTTTCCATCCGCCACAGTGCGTGCCTTGGAAGCGCAGATCAAAGATCTGCAGGATGCCAACCATATGTTGGAAACCACAGCCGACGACCTCCGCAACACTCTACATGAGGTTCGCAGGCAGCACGATGAGGCATGGGATGATCTCGACGAAACGCGTCGAAGGGCTGACCGAGCTGAG